TGCCACCTTTTGAAAATTGTGGCCATTCTTCTTCTGCTTAGAGCCGTGTGCTCTCATTTTGTAGAGCTCGTGATTTTGATGATGCTCTGAATTCTCAGCTTCTGCAACTCTCTTTACCCCAAAGTTCCAGAGGCTGCTGTGTGTCCCCTACCACTCAAACCATCCCCACAGTAGCCCACGGATGCTCTGTCAGGGCGTTGATAGGCACCATTCCTGTATTAAGATCCACTCATTAACTTAACCTCTAAATGCTTTCAAATGTTAAGACATCATATTTCCAGTTCCTTGAAATGCAAGCATTTATGTCCAAGTTGTAGAAAAGATTTATCAGCAGGGCTCTTAGCTAGAGACATATCCTCTCTTGGACCTCTTTCCCTAGTGCCCATAGCTTTGATCCATTCCTATACCTCGTTGTGTAGAATAGTCTATAATTTGCTAGTGTTATTTTGTGTTAGTGTTTTGTACTCTCAGGTATCCTCTTTTACGTCTTGTAGTATACCCTATTTCTATATATATATATATATATATATATATATATTCCCACCCCACCCCTCTGGTCTTAAGAGTTTCTGACAATGAAGTGTATTCATGGCAGTCTTCCTTATGCAGTAATGATTTTTTCCATCTCCCTGGTGTGTTTCTTTGTAATATTCTTAAAAGAATATTATTCATACCTTATTTGCTAGCAACAATTTCATTAGAAAACAGCTCCAGGACCATGGCCTCAGGGGACACAGGGGTCAAGTGGCAAAGGACACTGCATAAATAAAATGACCTGCAACCTAATTTGGTGAGTGGTGTCTGCAGTCTTAACATGTGTGTGAGAACAGCCAGCTAAGAGGCACCGACTGGTCTCATCCCACCTGGAGCATAGGAAAATGAAGAAAAAGGAAAAACCAAGGAAGCAATTATGGCCCACGTGAGCCAGAGCTGCCTGTGAATTGAGACTGGACGAGCTGGATGGGTGTGGCTCCCACAACTGAGCACTCTCAGACTAAGACCCCAAGAGATCGTCCCAATTAGAATAGGATTTTAAAACATGGTAGAACAAAATTCAAAACAAAACAAACAACTTACTCTAAAAGGCTAGAGGGACCCTAAGTCTATTGCCGAGAAAACCTTCTAGCTTGAAACTGGAAACACTCAGAAAGCTACCTTCCTGGCAAACAATAGACAAGACTGACATGAAGAATGTGCACCTCAGACAAATCGGTAGATGAGACCAACAGGGCAACTTTTGACCAACACTACAGACGAGACGAAGAGGCAGTGAAACCAAAGAGACGGAGACAGAACTCAGGGAGAATGGGGAGAGTGCTGACGTGTTAGAGGGATTGCAGCCAGGAGCAGGGACCAGTCTGGGTCTGAGCGATTGACTGGGAAAGCGAATTTGCTGTGTCAACTTTCACCTCAGGCACAGTGAGATTTAAAAATAAATGAAGACTACAACTACCAGGGTTACTGTGTGGGTCCCTGACATCGCTTGCAGTTGGATATATGGCAGTTCCATCTCGGTCTTTTTTGGGCCCTGGATTGTGTTCCTGCAGTTGAGCACATATTGGAAACCTCCATTGGACTGAGGACATCATTCCTACTAGCGTGAGGCTGATGTAGACTGTGACAGAGGTCTACCACTTTCAGGGACCAATTAGTTTCATTCTTTCACGTAAGGTTCAGAGTTGTGGAGGTAGAGGAGGACCTCTCGTTATCTGTTTTGTCTTTCAGAAGTTTCAGTTTCCTATGGGGCAACCAAATAGTTCGTAGGCTCTAACGACATGTCTCACCCAAATTCCAGCAAACCACCAAGCCATAAAGCCCCAGCATCTGAGTGCTCCAAATGCTACTTGATGCTTATACATCCTGGCTGATTATGTACATTGTTCCTGGAAGATGAGCCACTGTGGTTTTGTGTGTGCATGTGTGTTTTAACCATTTTATTGGGGATTCTTATAACATTCCATACATCCATTATTTCAAGCATATTTGTTCATATGTTGCCATCATCTTTTTCTAAACATTTACTTTATATTTGAACCCTTGGTCTCAGCTCCTCTTTTCCCCCTACCTCCCCCTCCTACATCATTGCGTGTTAATACAGGTATAGTGATCTGGCTCACAGTTCAGTGCTTTTATAATGAGGGACACCTAAAGACCACCTTCCTGTATTGCAAAGAGCTCTTTCCGTGGTTTGAATTAAGCAGGATCCTTAGGGTGGTGCTTCTTATTTCACCCATATCTATGCATTCTCAAGCACCTTGGCTGAGAGGCTGCATTGCCCACTCACTGGACATCCCCGTGGATGCTGCCTGCTTTCACATCCTCCAGATGTTCCACCTGATGATCCATTAGACAGTATTGATGGTCAAAAAAAAAAAAGTTCAAAAGTGCAACATAAAGATATGCTACTTCCCATCACCCTTGAGCTGTGTCCTTATGTAAAGTACCATGCCAGAAAGTCCAAAGGATGCTCTTAACATTTACCTACACTGGGCCTAAGAGACCAGTAAGACCTTGAATTTCAACACAGGGGTACACCCATGATGGTCTTTGTGATCATGAGTACCACGACCAAGATGCTTCTGGAACATTAGTGGTATTCCTCGGAACCCTACCATTTATCCTGAGATGAAACCTCTTGTAGAAGATACTGGCAGTGAGGAAACCTGGACAAAGACTAAACAGGACCTGTAAAATCTTAAAATTGGCCACACTGTACTGGACAGGGCAGCTAAGCTTGGGCTGTTCCACTTTCAAAGGCAACAGAAGGGCATTAACCAGCAGCCTTGAGACTATCAGCATTGAGCCGCAATCCTTGGCAAAACAGCTAAATAATTTATAAAATTTACCGTCTAGGTTTGCAAGTCTATAATCATGATTTTATTTTGCTTACTTAAAGACAAACAAATAAAACACTGGACTTTGACCAAGATACGGATCCATCTGTCAGAACCCTTCACACGTCTCCGACTGTTACCCTGGGACCTAGAACAAGGCCGCTTCATTGCTTATGATGGGAACAGGGTTAGTTCTAGACATGTCTGATGTTTCGTGGGGTAGGGGGTAGAGGGAAGAATCCCATAATTCTTCCTTGATTATTGGTTGTCGGTGTCACATTTGGCCAGTTTGTTAACCTTTTCTTAGCACTGTAAAATACTGTGCTTTCCATGTCTTTAAATAGTAGCCACTTTCCCAGCTGTTGTTGAGGCCTTTGAGATCTCAGTGGAACTTTCTACCTCCTACTTCCTTTGAGTGTCTTACATACTTAATTTTAACCATACTTTATAATTATAATAATGCCTGAGTATGAATAAGAATGTGCCCAAGAAATAAAAATCTTCCCACACTCAGTACAACTTAAAATGGCAGTTGTGTGACCTGTGGGATAAAGCATATGCTTCCATTTTAAATCATCAAAACTTTTGATGATCATTTGGTACAGTGTATCAGAAGACTTTTGTACTTATTTGTCTGTATATGTCTAACAGTAGAATGATATGAGGAAAAATAGGCCTAAATGGGAAATATCAATTCACTAGAAGACCTCTTTGTTTTCAGAGTCAAAATAAAATTTTGCACATTTTTACACCTCCTTTTTATTCTGTAATTATTCAAGGGCTAGTATATCTTCTTCTTCTGAATAATATAATACACACATGTACAAATGGTCAAAATTGTATTATTGACTTTCCAATTCATTAAGAAAACACTTAATAAGACAGTGCTTTGACATGTTTGTTTGTTTGTTTGTTTGTTTGTTTGTTTGTTTTTAAGCAAATTGAACATGAGTTTTATGGTTCTTGATTTGTACTTTGTAGATAACAATTTCAAATTTCAAGAGAAAATCCCTCTGAAATTGAGTGCAGCGTGTATGCTGGGAGAAATGAATGCTATAGCTTTAAGATAAGGTAGTCTGGCGAGTCATTGCACGACACAAGATCGATTTGGAGCAGGCTCCTACTGTTAGCCTTTTTTTGAAGATGGATTCTCATGCCGAAAAATAACGCAACCCATTCTAGATAACGGCCGTTTTTTGCCCTGAAATCCACCAAAACTGAAGAAAAATCCAAGTGACTGTTCTTAGCAGCTGTGTGGCCTGGAGTTCACTGGGGAAGCTGGCTTCCTGCGGTCCCTATTCATCACCTGCTTCAAAGCCAGCCTGGCTGGCTATAGTGTGCAGGCCAGGTAGGGTGCCATTGTGCACAGTCTGGGAGGATTAGCCCTTGGTCTCGGGCTGCCATTCAGTCTAGCAGGGAGAGGCTAAGACTGGCCAAGGTCACAGTCTCCAGTGTGGAGTGGACTGGGAAAGGATCCTGAGAATAGAATGCTTTTTATGAAATCATGGCGCAAGCTTGCAGCACAGCGGGCGCCCTTCTGGAACAGAGAACATCTGTTTACGTTGTGTACCATTCCTGACAACGAGCTAATAGAGCCTGGGAATTTACCAATTTTATTTCTACCAAGACAACTATATATACAACGATCCAGATGCGTATTTAGTTCAGATCTCTTATTTGAAAATGATAAAGAAACTGCCCAATGTAATTGCAGCTTTCCTCCATGTCTACATGCAAGCAAAAAACACAGCATACTAGCGATTAACCATTTATGACGGTGCTGATCCGTCCTACCCGAGATTCTTGGGGAGCATCCACCTAGCTTTCTCCACACATTTCCCCCATGTTCAGACATGTGTGTCAACAGATTGCAGAAGGATTTACTGAATATGCCTACCTTCTTTGCATATGAGGAGGCTTGGTTTGAAATCCCACCGCCCACCCCCACAAAGGAGAATATTCTAAGGGTGAGGTAGTAATGACGCAAAAATAAAAATTTCAACCTGGGCAAATTAGAGAAAAATTAAGCTGTACATGAGTTGTCATGACGACAAGGATGTTCTGTTGATGAACTGTCCTCCTCATTGTCCAATCAGATAGTCGAGCTGGAGCTGGAGCACGAACAGGAGAAGACGCACCTATTACAGCAGCACAACGCAGAGAGGGATAGCCTAGTCCGAGACCATGGTCGGGAAATTGACAACCTGGAGAAACAGCTTCGCGCTGCCAATATGGAGCACGACAATCAGATCCAAGAGTTCAAGAAACGAGATGCGCAGGTAATTACCCCTAACGTCTGATAAAACGGGTTTCTATTTTCAAAAAGTCATCAGCGTTTAATGTTTTTCTTATTATTCTTATTGATGCACGCTGTTTGATCATTTTGACATAAAAATGTGATTTGGTTTGTTTTGCTTTGCTTTCCCCTCCAGCCCCCCCAACCTCTTCCGTTAGGGGGATGAATACGGCTTTAACTAGGGAAACCACAGGTAGCCAGATTAAAAATCCCATGGCGCGCTATAACTTGGCCTCTTTTTGATAATCTTGTCTCAGTTCCTTTTATGATGGATTTTTTTTTTTTTAGGTATCTGCCCCTTCCCCCTCCCCTCAGCCTTAGCAAATCCCCATGAAATATACCAGGCTCCCTTGCTTTTTGTTTTAATCTCGGCAGGTAATCAAGCGTTTGTTTCAATATTTGCTCTTCCTCCCTACTGTTGCTTTCCCCCCTTCGACTGTGCGATTAGATCACTCCGCTGGTAATTGATAGAAATGACTTCAGAGAAGGGCTACTTCCCATCAGGTCTGGTTTTCTTTCTTTCTTTCTTTTTTTTTGCTGCATGCACATACTCATGCCTCCCCAGCCTCCATCTCTGTAGTCCCTGTTGGAAGCCATTTGGCAGAATAACCCCCAGCTGTGGTAGCATTTGAGTCTTCAAACTTATGGATGAAATGTGCACTGTCAGCATGGAAAATTATCTTTATAAATTTCAGATGAAAAAAAAAAGAATCTTACTGGGTATGTATCTTTTGGGTACAATACATTCTTCAGAGTATATATAATCAAGGGCCTCTGGTGCATCCTCTTGAGACAAGTGCTGTGAAATTTTATTAGGAAAAAAAAATGTCTCAGAGCAGTTGATAGCAATAAAAAGATAATTTTCTTTCCCAACAAAACCATATCACATACCAGTGTCTAAACGCTTCCCTTGCCATCAAAAGCAAGCCACACTTGTCACACCACACAGAAGCTTCCTCCCCTAGCCATCTCTCCCTCCAAAGCTGTTCTTTCCCAGAGACGGAAGGAACCTTGTCTGTGATGTCTATTTAAACCATTAGCAGTCTTCTAAACCTGAAAAGGCTCCCAATTAAATGGGCTGTTGATTCATTGCATGAAGGACAGGAGAGGGGGAGTTAAAGGCAAGAACAGGAATTACGGAATATTTTCCGTCTGACCTTGGGTGGTCTGAACTTAACTGAAGCGATGTAAATATGCCTGGTACATGTTGTGGGCAAACATTTTTTGGTCGACAAGGTGCCTGTATCGGAAAAATAACTTTCAGTTTGTTTCGGGGTGCTTTTCTTACTACAAAGAGCGCCATTGGAACCATAAAGAGAACGAACGAAAGATGGTTCCTGTGAATCAACGTGCACGAGACTCTTGCCACCAACTGTTTTGGAACCTCTATAAAGTACATGCTGGTCTTTTCCATTTTTAATCAGACATTTTATTATGACTCTTTTCAAACTTAATGTTTGTTTTTCTCTCCAACATGATGTGTTAAGCTGTACCATTGTCCTCTATTATTGGGGGTTCGAGTTGTGGATCAGTGCGTAGGGTCTGTTTGCACTGAGGAATTTAAGGGCAATGCAATAAAATACAGCCATTTACATAACAACCTACTACTTTGGTGTGGTGGTGCAACGTGGACACACGTGGAGGCCGAATCTAGAGGAAATCTTTGTGATTTTGCCTGTCACTCGTGCCATAGAGGGTGCGGTTCATCCAGTAACCAAAGGGAAATATTAAGACTATTACCTATAACAAGTCATAGGGATAGCACCGTAAGGACACTGATTGATTTCCTGCCTATTGAAATATTCAGACCACCATCTAGCCTCTTCAAATACTGTTACGGAGGTTTATATTTCTTACATTGTATGTCTTTCTGGCCACGTTTTGTTGATAGACTATTGCCATCTCGAGAACACCAGCAAGCAATGGAAACTAAATTTATTCTTGATCAAAATGAAATCATCTTTTGTATACCTTATACTTAGCTGTCTTATAAACGTTTACCAATGAGGTATAATTTTATGCGTATCAAAATACTAGTATTCACTTGTTCTTTTGTTCATTGAGGTTATTAATTTAGTGTTTCCTTCAGGTAAGTACTAAATTTTTCAAATACCTCTTCACTATTATGGTGCAAGTAAACAAATGTATAATACCCTGTATGTCCTATATTCCACTTATGATTTAAAAAGCAAGCAAAAAGCAATAGGCATTTATTTTGTTATTGAAATGATCCTTCAAATTGCTGTGTTGTGCCTTATTGCAAAACAGGTCCACGTATCTTAAATATTGAGTTGCTTTATTTTTCTCTTTTAGTCCCGGAAAGGTATTTGCTTTTTAGTTAGTGTCTGGCTGCCCAGCTTAGTGATGGAGGCCATTTTGTAGAATGGACTATTTGGAATTCAGGAGAGGATATGGCAAATAGCTCGTGAGGATACTATTGCTTTGTTTCCTGTTTGTCTTCCATCATATTTGCAAATAAAGACAATACCCAAAGCTATTTTTTTAACCTTTTTTCAAATATATAATGTACTTCATAATGATTAGGATATCATTATCATAAAGCATAGTTACCTATCTTAAGGAGAATTATATCAATTAAGAGCTCCCTTTTGGTAAATTTAATTATTACTGGTTAATTGTCAAATAATTTCTATTTTTTAGATATTATATCTCATAGTAAATCTACTGAGGGTAGTGAACTGTTTTCCTTTTATTTCATACATTTTTGTGAATTAATCAATCTGTATCAGACTCATGTCATAATACTTTGATTTCCAGATACAGGCTATTTTATGTTGGGCTCATTTGGTTTATTAAAATGCCCATTAGATATGATTACTCTGACAGAAGTGGTTCATGTGTGGTATCTTTCTAAGGAAAAACATTCAGATCAGTAGAAATCAAGATGGAAATTCATAACCTCATTGTCAGAGAGTTCTCCTGTACTAGTTAGTCCTCCTTATTGAAATTAGAGACCGGGAACATGGGGTTAAAGTGCATAGCTGCTAATGGAAAGGTCTGGGGCTCGAACCCACAAGTCACTCTGAAGGAGAAAATATGGCAGTTCGTTCCTGTAAAGATTACAGCCTTGGAAGCTCAATAGGGCAATTCTAGTCTATCCTACTGGGTCACTGTGAGTCAGAATCCACTGAATGTCTAAGGGGAAAACCCTTTAGTGAAATTAAGAGTTTGATTGATCCCATCATAAATTTCATGTAAAGGACATTTGTAAAGTCCATCTTAAGAAAGCCTCTTCTAACTTGGTAGTTCTGTATAGTTAGCTTTGGAACAGAATCTAATGGGGGCGTTCCTGCAGTTTAGCCTGGGCTTTGGAAGAAGCGGAGCACTGGCCGCTCCTCAGCCCCTTAGTGGTCCTGCTAAGACTCTGAGCCGTTGAGAGAGGGCTCGGTCTTGATACAGTTGAAGTGAACAGTTTGCGAGCGGTATCGACACTGTTGCCTAGACTCGGTGGTCCACCCCACAGGTGGCGGCTCCATCTTAGCACTGCGGTCAGTGTGCCCCTGTGAGGTGAGACAGGTCAGCACGTCAGTCACCTCAACTACCTCTGTGAACCGCAGCCGGTATAGCTGCTAATTGAACACCGTGTGCTTAGGGAGGATCATCAGAGATATCTGAGAAGGAATGAGCCTTAGCATCACATGTAGTTACTCATTAACAGCCAAATGCCATTCCTGATTCTCCAAAATGAGAGGCATGATTTGTTATGAATGATTTTTGCCATAATAAATGAACAGATTGATTTTTTTTTTTTTTGCCATGCTGGCTCACATTGAGAAACTGAACCCTCACCCATTCCAACATGCAGAATGTGTAGTATTTCTCAGTATACGTACAAACTTTGGGTGGTGCAAAATGTTAAAACTCTTGGTTGGAGGTTCAAGTCCACCCAGAGGTGCCACAGAAGAAAGGCTTGGTGATTGACACCTGCACGTCAGCCTCTGAAACCCTGTGGGATGCACGTCTCCTTGGTCACACACGGGTTCATCTCGAGTCCGCGCTGACCCAATAGCATTTGTTTTGTACGTGGTCTGAGCATTATTCTTATGCTCTGTATAAATGGCTATGGACTTTGATACCATTTTCTATCTATAACACTTGATTTTAATTCACCTATATCCAGACGACTCTTAATATATGTAAAATCGAAGATCGACAGCCTTGAAAGTCCACAGAGACAGTTCGACTATGTCTTCTAGGGTCACTCGGAATGGTAACCAACTCCACAGTACTGAGTCTGGCTTGGAAACTGCTCTCAAAAAGGATTTGAACAGCAGTTTGCAATAAACACTCATACCGGTAAAATGAATGTCCAGCTAAACAAAAAGCTGTAAATTTCTAATAGCAACTACATCAGAAAGTTGATAGGACAAAAACATTTGTTTTGCTCAGAACAAGTTTTAACTCTCAGCTTAGCTGGAAACCACCGCGGAGAAGGAAAGGATGAGGGCTACCTAGTTCCCTCGTGATGGACGTCACACGGGTTCATTTCTTCCCCTCCAGCCGCAGTTCTGATAGACACTTGTGACATGGTTCTGAGGAGGAAGGACATGGACCAACGCATTTTATATTCTCGATATGGCAAAACATTTGGAAATCTGATGTGAAAACCGTAGGTTCTTCAAGTTCCTCATAAAATATAATCAACAGGTTTTGTTTTCATTTTAATTTATTGAGGGCCAAATTATTCTCACTTCAACATACGAAAGCTGTTTTCAGATACTATAAATCAAAATAAAGTATTTTAAGTCATGGACCTCCATGTTTCAAATGCATTGATGCCTTTGAACTATGGTGTTGGCGAAGAATATGGAAAGTAGGGGGAAGTAGGACCCGGATACTCCATAGAGGCAAGGATGGTGAGACGTCCATCTCGTGTGCTTTGGACATGTTGTCAGGATACATCAGCCCCTGAAAAAGGACATCATCGTGCTTAGTAAAACGGAGGAGCTGCGAAAATGAGCA